ACAAAATTTGACATCCCCAGAAAATTGGCATTATTGCCCCGGTAAATGTAATCCCGCTGATTTGGCTTCGAGAGGAGCTAAACTTCCAGATTTGAAAAACAATCCTATCTGGTTTCAAGGACCAGAATGGCTTAGAATGTCGTCTGAGTTGTGGCCTCGACAGAATGAAGAGAAACCTGTCACTGAAGAAGAATTAGAATACCGCAAAAATATTAATGATATTTATGAATTTGTATGCACGGCAGTTGAAGAAAGGGTAATAGACATCTCAAAATATAGTAATTTAAGAAAATTGTTGAGAATAACTGGTTGGATGAAACGATTCATTGGTAAAATTAGGAAAACAAACCATTTGACAGGTCCATTAACGACTGAAGAAATAGTAGATGCCGAAAATTATTGGATTCGATCTGAACAAGAACGTTTTTATCCCGAAAGAAATTGAGTCTCTGAAGAAAGCGAATAAAGTCGAAAAGAAATCATCTTTATATCTTTTTAACCCATTTTTAGACCAGAACGGGATACTGAGAGCAGGTGGTGGAAGATTAGAACATTCTAGTTTGTCACATGATGAAAAACATCCGGCAATTCTTTCAAGAGACTCCTGGCTAACGAAATTTGATAGTAGAAAGTGCACATGTTAAAATGATGCATGGAGGAGTAGCAATGACCTTAGCTGAAATTTGAAGTCGCTTTTGGATCCCAAAAGGACGTCAATTTACCAAGAAAATAATAAACAAGTGTCTTATTTGTAAAAGATATTCATTGAAGTCTGCTGACCAGACCACTTCTCAACTTCCAGAAGACAGAATCAATGAGACACCACCATTCTACGTATCTGGCATAGATTTTGCTGGACCGATTTACGTAAAAAAAACATCGAAGGAAGTCAAAAAGCCTATGTAACATTATTTACATGCGCTATCACTAGAGCCATACATCTGGAACTTGTACCGAATCTCTCTACAGATTCTTTCTTGATGGCATTCAAAAGATTCACATCTAGGAGAGGCAATTGTCGAGTAATTTATTCGGACAACGCGAAAAACTTTTAAAAAGGGAAAAAAAGGAACTCGAACATTTCTCTAAACTATTGTCGAATGAGAAATTCCAAGATTTTCTGTCGAATGAAAGAATCAGTTGGAAGTTTATAATAGAACGAGGGGCTTGGTGGGGAGGCTTCTACGAGAGATTAGTAAAATCAGTGAAAGAGTGCTTACGAAAAATTCTCGGTAAAGCTTTACTAACGTTTGAAGAATTGTCAACAGTTTTAGCACAAGTGGAAGCTGTTTTGAATTCTCGTCCTTTGACATATGTGTACAATGACCACAAGGAACCGTTGCCACTGAAGCCAGTCAATTTTTTGATTTTTGGAAACAAAGATTCTACATTACCTATCAACTTTAATTCCATTGTTAAAGATGGCTCTACCAAGTCCTCTCTGACTAAAAGAAAGATTTATCAAGATTTATTGGTTAGGCAATTGTGGACTAAATGGAAAAAACAATATTTGATGGATCTTCGGACAGCTCATCAATTAAAAAATCCTAACGTTTATGATGATCTAAAAGTTGATGATCTTGTATTAATTGAAGGCAACAATAAGTGCAAACTTTTGTGGAACTGTGGCAGAGTGATAAACGTTTTTCGTGGTCGTGACAACAAAGTTCGTTCTTGTGAACTAAAAACTGCTGATGGAACAATAATAAAACGACCAGTTCAATTATTATATCCTTTGGAACTTTAAAAAACATTTTTTTATTGTTTAATAATATGAATAAGATTGAATATGTTTTTATGCAATTGTTTATTTTACTAGTTTAATTTCATATGCTTAGATTAAGAATAGTTTAGATTTACTGAAAGTAGTGTCAAATTATATTTGATGATAACATACCTTTTTTTAGAATTTAGTATGATTATAGTTTGAATATATTTTCTATTCATTTAATATACTTATCAATTGTTTTATAATTATATGTTAAAATACTTATTGGTATAAATTTGATTGTTGTTAGATTGAATGTGAACTCTTGACACAGAGTTCAGGTGGGGAGTGTGTGGAAATTATTTTGATTAATTGATAGATGGCGCTAGCGTTGCGTGTTAACGAGACGCGACGTGCCTTCTGAATTTCCATAGACTCTCCACCGGCAGCTCGATAGATGGATGTCTGATGGTTCGCACACTATTTGATTAGGAACACTTCGGTTCCTATTTGATTTCGATTTTCGATTATGAAAGCATATAGATTTATTTGTCAACTGAACCACCATGTTTGATCTATGATCTGTAAATATTGTACATATTAAAAGTTACATTTAAAAAGTGATTGATGTCGATTTATAGATCTTAGAATATTTTGAAACAGCTGTAGAATGGCTCAAGCTTGATGAAATTTTCCAAACTCACTGTGCAGAGGAATACGAAGCGAATCTGAAAATGAACAGCATATATGTTCATGTCAAAAACGTGCAAGACTTCAAGAAAATGACTGATACATTGAATGGAAAAAGTATTCCTTTCCATACTTACCAATTGCCGAATGAGAAGAATGTGAAAGCAATCATGAAAAATATTCCAGAAACCATAACCGAAGAGGCAATTTTTGATAACTTAAAATGCAGAAAATTCCCGATTGTTAAAGTCAAACAATTTGCTCATACCAGACGTGGATTTACTGAAAGGCTGCCCATCTTTTTCATGGAATTACACAGAAATAAAGCTGGAAATGCTATATTTAATCTTATCAACATGTTCAGTTTCAATGACAAAATAGAGAAGTTTGCCCCGAGAAAGCGACCGACACAATGTTACCGTTGCCAGGATTATGGACATACTCAACATCTATGTAAAAATCTGGAACATTGCTGCAAGTGTGGGAAAAACCATAGCACCAGGAGTTGCTCTAAGAAGCCAGAAGATACCCCCACCAGTTCATTTTGCAGCCAAGGACATGTCGGAAGTTGTCGTAGGTGTATAGCATACCAAGAGAAGTTCGAAAGAAAAGCTAAGACACCCCCACAAACACACCTAGCTGGACGAAGGTAGATTTTCCTAACCTGAAAAGCACAGATGAAAGTAGAGATAACAATGAAGCTGACGCCACTGCTAAACCTAGGTATAGCGAAAAGGTCAAAGAAAAAGATTTCATATTCCGAAGGAAGCAAGTGCTGTAATGAACTGTATACTGGATGATAAAGTACAAGATTTTCTGAAAAACATCTTCATGCTTATCGAAAGAATCCGCAAAGCAAGGACTGTTGCTGACAAACTTTCTGCAGGTTTCAGAGCTGTCACGTACATCATGAAAATCGCAGAAGATGAAAACTGATTTGTTCTGAGTATGTCACTTCTTCCTTAATTTCCTGTACGGCTTTCCTATCACTTAGACCATCTTCGATGCTTTTTTTCAACATGTTATTACTTTACAAGTCAAAATCATTCAAGTTCATCACCAGGTTATTCCTCATCAACCTTAGAACTTCAAACCAATTGTCCCACAAGGGGTAGGGCCTTCGGCACAGGTACCCAGGTGTCATGAAGCACCGTTCCACTGGAAGAGAAAGAATGTAAACAAAATGAAGTTCGCAGAACGCGACTGAGTGGTCTTTTGTGTGGGAACAGCAAAAATAAATGTATAATGACAAGGTCATCCAAACTATGTAACAAGGTCATTCAAACTATGCACAATGACATCATAGGAAATTTTTTTTTTTTAGTGCACTTAAGCGCCACATGAGTAGAAACACCACACCTGCTGAAAATTTAAATTTTAAACACGTAAACGCTGTGGCGTTTTTTCCGAAAATTACGGTAATTTCCTTCATATCTTTGTGGATTTGTTATAAATTTATTTCTTATCTATCTATCTATTTATCTATACACACACACATACGTTTCACCATGGCTATTTAAAAATATATGTGGTTTCTCCTTTTCATTATTTTAGGTCCTGTGAAGGAATCACTTATAATTTTTTAAGATGGGATAGAGATATTGTGCAGTTTTCAACAGAATGCAAAGTTTTATTATGATATAAACATGAATTTTTATAAGTATGTTGAAGCAAAATATATGTGGTTTCTCCTTTTCATTATTTTAGGTCCTGTGAAGGAATAACTTATAATTTTTTAAGATGGGATAGAGATATTGTGCAGTTTTCAACAGAATGCAAAGTTTCATTATGATATAAACATGAATTTTTATAAGTATGTTGAAGCAAAATATTTTCATTTACTTTTGTGGAAATTTTTGAAGCAAGTAACAAACAGACCAACGTTGCATTTTTAGCAAGAATACATTGATCATTTTCTTATTCCAGTCCAACAAGCAGCACATCCTTGTTGAACTTTGCTTTGAATCAGATAGTGCCCTGTCAACGAAATGATATCTGAAACTCAGGCAGAGCTGATTGAAGCTTTTGAATCATTGATGAGTTTGCTTTATCAGATTTTTTCTAAAATCTGTGAATTATATATTTGCAGTTTTCACTTTGTATGAAAAATGAAAATGTTGTCATCATTCTTGGTGCATATGATGAAACATCCGAAAATATATTTAATATGTTTAGTTATAACAAACTGTTTTACTATGTCTCACTGAATGATCAGTAGTGAAATCAGATCACAGTCTTTCGCAAATTTAAAAACATGTTCAAACATGAACTTTTTACTTCAGAAAAAAAAAAAAAAAAAAAAAAAAGATGACTTGCTGAAAGTATAATAAAGTCTTAGACATCCAGACACTTATGAATTTATAGGTAAAAAAATGTACTGAGAATGGTAATCCTTACATTTCAAAATATTTAACACCTTATAAGTAAATTTCATACAAAATAAAAAATTAACCATATATCTAAATTATTTCTTCTACTAAATTAAACAGAATTTTTGACCTCCTCCTATCATATCTAAAATTATATACACTCCCTAAAGTTTAAAACTGATTTTTAAGATTTACTATTAAATTTTGAATAAAATATTAGTTTGACATTATACCTGAGGAGCAATATTGCTCAAAACAAAAGTGTCATTCAAGTATTCTTGAGAACTTCTATGGTTCCCTGCAGCAGCAAGGTGCCCTCTATCATAGCCACTTCTCTTGTAGTCTGCGTTTGTGGCTCGGAAGAAAGGGTGTATAGATTCATCTTCAAAAAATTCAGTTTTTGCCCTGTTAACATCTTCATTGTATTTAATATGATCTGCTGTCAAGTGTTCCAGTACCCAGTTTGGTATCCTATTTCGGCGGTCATATGATAAAACATAACTTTTCCTAGCCCGGATAGTTTCAAAACCAGGAAATCCATACTGCATAGTTTTTGTTACATGACCTTCTGGAAGATCTATATCCATGGGTTGAGGTTCAATTGGTTCAGTCCGTATTGGCAATGCAGCTGAGACTTTGCTAAAAGAAGCTTTTTCACTGTACAGCAAACCACCAAAAAATCCCACAGCACCCGCAAGGATGGAATATCGTATGGCCATGCTATAAAGAAATGTACACATTTTAAGAATGAAATAGGTATTTTACATATTCAAAATGAATTTTTCACATACATAAAGGTTTATACGAAAGGTACATAAATGTGCATCTTTATGCATTCATATTCTAATACATAAAGGTTTCATTTAAATTTATTACTCGTATGCTTTGCTCAGAATTTTGCAATTGATGTAAATTTCTGCTTGATGCTTTAAAAATGGAATTAAATATAAGTAATTTATCACAAGCACATTAACAAAATGAATGCTTTTTCTAATATTATTATTTGATCCTTTTTATATATTAAAATATGACTCAAAATCAGAGAATTTAATAAAATACAAACATCTAAATCATTATAATCAAATACTACAATTATTTTAGCACACATTCATTTTGAAAAGATGGCTTAATTCAATATTATATTTGGATATATAATATTTAATATATTCAAATATAGTATTGAATTCAGCTGAATTCTCAATATATGAATATAGATTATTCATATATTGAGCTATATTATTGGCAATGCAGTGAAATATGTTAATTTCTTCTTCCCATTTCCTTTTTGGTTGTGGCACTTTTTTTGCACCTATAGTGCAGTTTGCCTCTATGCTTCTGATTTTTTGTTTGTTTGTTTGTTTGTTTTTTGCACATGGTTTGTTCCAAATTAAATATGGGATGAATTTTAAATATATTTGTAATTTATTCTGCATTATATAGAGAGAGACATCCTTCGCCAGAAAAGTTCCAGGACATAGGTTGTAAAAAATAGAAAATTGCACTTACCAAGTAATGATCCTAGCTCCTACCAAAGTAGTACCCTTGGCTATCTATACAAAACTACCAACATATATGGAGGTCTTAGAAGCAAGCAGAGAAATCTTCAACTGCGATGCTTGTAAGATTATTTGTCAGAGCCCACTGGATGGCTGCAATATCTTGATGAAGCTTTCCGTTCAGTCACCTTTTCACTCATGAAAACAAGAAAAAATCAAAAGGTGAGAGATCAGGCAAATATGGCGAATGTGGGATGGCAATAACAGAATGTCTGGCTAGATACTCACTAACAATTAAAGCAGTATAGGATCTTGCATTATCATGCAGTAAGAAACAATCCTGAGAACACAATCAACATTATGTTTGTTCTTGAAGGTTGTCATTTGACTTTTTTCTAGGCTGGTGATCCAAGATTCCACCATTCAGCAATTTTGTGTGAGGATAATACTGGTAGCACCAACTTTCATTCCCTGCAATAATCTTTGCAACAAATGTGGGATCACATCTGGCTCTATCCAATAGTTTAGAAGAAATTCTTCGTCTTTCCTCTTTCTGTTTGTCTGTGAGTGAGAGACGATTTGTGCATTAAGTTTCTGTTTCCTATATCTTTGCATAAATTTTTATGACATACATGATAATTCAAATTCAGTTCTTCTGATATCATACGCACAGTTACATGATGGTCTTCTTGCAATAACTGTCTTACACGCTCCACGTTTGTGCTGTAGACGAGCGAACAACTCTGGGATTGTCTTGCAGTAAATTGATGCTTTCAAGAAATCTTTTGTGCCACTCGAAAACATAACTTCTTGAAAGTGCCTTGCCTGCATATGCTTGCTTAAGCATGTTCCATGTTTCACTAAGGGTTTTCCTGAGCTTAACACAGAATTTAATGTTCACTCTTTGCTCACAGTCAGCATCTACTATCTCACCTTAATGAACATGGCAATAGCACAAACAGTGCGTTGCTAAGTGCAACCCTGCCACCTTGTGAAACATGGCCAAGGTCATGTCAAGTACCAGGCCAGTAACATAAAAACAACATTTGTTCCTTTTTAGTATTGCAAACTCAGAAATAAAAAAGAATTGTCCTGGAACTTTTCTGACAAAGGATGTGTATATATATATATATATATATACACACACACATACATACAGTCAAAAGTCGTTAATTCGGACACCCATAATCCGGAATGATCTATAATCCGGACCTAAAAGCTACAATCTTTCTGCGCATGCGTCGCGTTAACGCATGCGCGTAAGACCTTTACCGCTGCGAATTTGCGTGTGCGCAAAATACGTTTACGAATGCATAATATGTTTACGTGCGTTTTAATGTATAACGGACGGGATAAGCTAAGCTAAAATTATCTAATTATCTATTTCAGTTAATGTTGTAGATTGCGTTTGTTCCTTAATCTTCGAATTGGATCCGGATTATTATTTTTTGCAGACTGTTAGAGCAATTTTATAAAAGTAAGCTTGAACTTTCGATTATGTCAAATAGAATTTCCGATATATACAGGGTGATTATAATTAAAGTTTAAGTTTCAAAACGCTATAAAAAAAGAACCACTGATGAAAATGATGTGAAATTTGAAAGGAATGTTATTGAAGAAGGCGGAAAGCGTTTGCGGCGACATACCGCATAAGAACCATTCGTCAAAGAAGTTCGGAACTGTCGCGAGACTGGCACAAAACATGTTCAATATGGTGTTGTGTGCAACAAGTTGAAAGCGACAAACAGCATGTTCCACAACGGATCGCAGTGTCTCCGGGGTGATGTTCAGAATGTGTTGCGAAATGCGTGCCTTTAATTCCGCTAAATTTGCAATTGGAGCACGGAACACAGCATCCTTCAGATATCCCCACAGCCAGAAATCACACGGAGTAAGATCAGGCGATCGGGACGGCCAGGCTGTAGGGAAATGACGGCTGATAATTCGAGCATTTCCGAAATGGCGCCTCAGCAGCTGCTTCACGGGATGTGCAATGTGCGGAGGAGCGCCATCTTGCATAAAAATGATTTCATCCACACATCCACGCTGTTGCAGAGCTGGAATCACGTGGTTGCGCAAAAGAGAGACGCATACCTCTGACCAGTGACGGTTTGCAGTAACAGGACCGGAAGCACCCGTTGTTTCGAAAAAATATGGTTTTAGGATGAATGATGCCCGTAAAGCACACCATACCGTGACCTTTTCAGGATGAAGTGGTACGGGGTGCGTTGCCAGTGGATTTTCTGTTGCCCATATTCGACAATTCTGGGTATTCACGTATCCTGTCAGATGGAAATGGGCTTCATCTCTCCACAAAATTTTCCACGGCCATTCATTATCCACTTCCATGCGAGCCAGGAATTCTAACGCAAACGTCTCCCTAGCTGTCAGGTCAGGCGGAAGCAACTCCTGCACATGGCCAATTTTGTACGGATAGCATTGCAGGATGTTTCGTACAATTTTCAGCACCGTGCTCGTAGGCCTGTCCAATGTTCGGGCAATTCCTCGTGCACTGCACGGTTGCACACCACCGGCGGACCCCTCCTGTAATGCTGTGGCCACTTCTTCAACTACCGTCGAATGCACTCGTTTTCTCCCTCTACCAGATTGCACATCAAACGAACCTGTCGTTTCCGAATTTTTGCATCATTTTCTTTAGACCTACGACACTCATTGGACCAACGCTTTCTTTTATACCCTTCAGTGTCCTGAATTTTTGCAGAGCTACTCTTGCACAATCATCATTCTTGTAATACAGCTTTACCAGCAGAACGCGGTCCTGCAGTGAAACACCCATGGCGAACGTCTGAGACGCGAAATGAGGAACAGCCTGGTATCTGACGGCTTTATAACACTGAAATTTAACTAACATTTTAATTTACGTCTTCTTCCGCTTGCAGCGCCATCTGTTGCTAACTTTTGAAACTAAATTTTTTCTTCTGCCATACGCTTTCCGCCTTCTTCAATAACATTCCTTTCAAATTTGGCGTCATTTTCATGAGTGGTTCTTTTTCTATAGCGTTTTGAAACTTAAACTTTAATTATAATCACCCTGTATTTACTAATATGTAAAGGATATACAAAGCGAAAGTATCTTTCGGAATCCATTAAACAAAAAATGGAATTGCTGCAAAAAATGGATAAAGGCATATTCTTTGTTTATATAAACTTTAACGTTTGTTTATCTAAACTTTGTTTATCTTTAACGCCGCAGCGGCGTGCAATGAATTGGAAGTTGATTTTGTCAGCACTATCCTTATCTTAAGGGCAGATGTTTTTATTTTATTTGGCTTATAATTGATTACTCAATGTAGTATTTCATCTCGATGTACTCAGTCTTTGATATGATTTAAATCAAATGCCTTGTCATTATAATTCGCTTCCGATAGCGAAGAAAGTGACATAGGTTTTTGAAAACGAAAAAATTTCGATTGACAAATTGGTCGGTATTCTCGACACAGCAATTATAAGACTTGAACAGCGGAACTTGGTAACTAAACAAGAAATTATGTCTGTTTAATAAAACTAAAGAGAAAGTATTATCACATAAAAAACGAAGCAACTGAGACAACTTACATTGAAAGAAATGTTTAATAAAGTAAACAAATAAATATTAAGCTTTTTTTTGTAAATTTTGATACCCTTTAGATCATAATTGTTCTTTATTTCGTAAATTACGGTTTCATATTTTTACTTTTATAATTTCTGCATGCCATTTTACCAGATTTAAACTGATGATCTATAATCCGGAAAAATCGATAATCCGGAATCGCCGAAGTCCCGACGAGTCCGGATTAACGACTTTTGACTGTATATATACTCCACTGTATAAATTAATCATGCTTTTCAGATTATATTAAAATATTTATGTGAACACTGAGAAATGTTAAATATTAGTAATTAGCATATTATTCTTTACAAACATGCTTCCTTACAAACATTAATCATGCTTTTCAGATTATAATAAAATATTTATGTGAACACTGAGAAATGTTAAATATTAGTAATTAGCATATTATTCTTTACAAACTAATAATCATTTATTTTCTTGGACTGATAAAACACTGCTCCTTACAGTTTTACGTATACATATGAACTTTTAAATTACAGAAATTTAAGATTTTACTTTTACTTTCATTGGTTTTTAACTTTAAATTACAGAATTTAGATAGATAAAAAACTTTGAGAGAAAAATGCTACTAAAAATATAAATTCTTGAAGGACTTGATTGATACTTATGTGCCTGGAGTATGAGGAAATCATTTCAATGTTTATTTTAAACAAATATATTCCCCAAATTTCAGAAGTACTTTAATAAGAAAATTTATATTAAGAACTGAAAATGTTTACTTGCGGTAATTAAATTAGATAGAAACTTAAGCTATCGGTGCTTGTCTGTTCTCAAGACTGAATTTAGAAATGCATGTATGTATGGATATATGTGTTCAAGTGTGCACATAAATGTGTTCATACGTATGTATGAGTATGTGTACACCCATATATATATGCACATACATACATACATACACACATGCATACATTTCTGAATACGGTCCCAATAACAGAAGAATACCAATCTATCTTCTTACAAAGGGAAATAATTTATTTTGCCTTATCTAACAAAATAAATTTTGGCTAATCTTTGGAATATGGTAACAGGTAGTTTGGCGACATTTTGGTAAGGCGATAAAGGTTACTAGCTAGGACTTTAGCAGTGTACATGGATAAAGTCAAGAGTATGTGCAATGCCATTTTAGTGCAATTCTGGGATGTTTTTTTAAGTGAAAATAAGTCGACGTGTACCTGGTTACCATGTATGTGCAATTCTTAAAAACGTGGCAAGCAGTTTGCGATTCTGCACTTTCTCCCAATTTCGCACCTAATCTTCGTCATGATTAAGCACTTTTGTTCCATAAAAGTTCTAGCATAAGCCTAATTCGGCTAGCAAATTGTTGGGAAAAAATGTTGAGTAAAAAAAAAAAAAAAAGCCTTTACTTCGGAAAACAAAATGGCGTCCAAACAAAAACTAGCAGGTTGCTGTAGCAGGGTTGGTCGCCAAATTTTCACCAAAAAATTGCCAAGTTAGCATAATCCAAAGATTTACCTAAATTTCTCATTCATTGAAAATGTTAGTTCTTCACTTCAAATCCTGAAAGAGGGAAGATGCATTAACTCTTGCTTGAATGCTACAAAAAGTTTTTTTTTTCCCTAAAATTAATTTATTAATGAACATCTTATCACATTTATAGTTTTTCTTATCAAAATATAGAAGCTACAGGCCTTATAGACGAAAAAACTATAGCAACACATTATATGTGAGGATTCCAGTAATATAACACTGTTAAAATACAATATAATTTTATGAATTTTTTTACTTTGGACATTAATATTGAACTTAACTATACATTTTTTTAAACTGCTGATAGCCTCCATAAATGAGAAAAATATTTGCAAAAGAAAATCTGCTATAATCAAATCAATTTTACACAAATAGTGATTTTGATGTTAATGAATAGTCACATAATGTTATATATTAAATAAATGCACATGTAAATTGAAAATGACTGATATATAATTGCTGAGATAACAGTTTTGGGGATACTGAAAAAGATTTATGTTATTTAAAAATTTTAATGAAAAGTTTACTTACTTATTTGTCATTTTGATGTGATTATCCTTGCTTTAAAGGGGTTTAAAAATCATGTAAAAGGTATCCATTACAAAATAACAATCTCTTAAAACACTTATTTAATACACAATCAATAATGTTACTTATATTGAATAATAAAAATTAATACAACAGAAATGTTTTGCCCAAAAGCCAGGGAAAGGAAAAAGTATAGGAAAGAAACAATTAAAAATAAAAATAAGTATTGAGAATATATTTTCAAACACATAGAAACTCTGCATGAGTAACGCATAAGATTATTAGCTGATACTGATTATAAGCTGACCCCCAGAAATCAAAGCCAAAAATAAATAAAAAATTAATCATATTGCACATATCTGCGATATTAATTCTCAAACAATGGGTAAATTTTAACTATGGAAGTTGTTAAAAAATCAGTTTGCAAGCAGATAAGTGTTAATAGCATGTATTAAAAATATAGGTACTATTCGGTTTTGAGGGCTGTAAAAAATCGCCAAACTATTGTTGATGCCAGTGCTGCCAAAAATAATTGTGGCAACCCTAACGCAAGAAAGAAAGTATAATACTAGTAAATAACTATCTAAGATTGACGTTTTAATTTAGATGAAAGGCTAATTTCATATAATACTTTTTATTATTATAATTTATATAAAAATGGCTAAACATGACTTAATGGAAGTATAAGAGTAAATAACTACATATTTCAGATCATTATTATAATTTATATAAAATTTGCTAAACATAACTGAATGGATGCGTGCATCGCTATTTCGCTACCGAGTTATCACTAAAGCATAGTTTCATCTTGTTGGTTGTTCAAACACAATTTTCTATAATGAATAATGCCTTTTCTTTGCCTTTTCTTTGAAAAAAAAATCTCTGTAAAGTGCAGAATCGCTCACTTATTGTTTGCCGCTTTTTACAAAGGGTAAAAACAATAGGATTTTTGTCAGTTTTGTCGATGTGTACATAGATAAAGTCAAGGGTGTGCGCAGTGCCATTTTTGTGCAATTCTGGGATTTTTGTTTTTTAAGTGAAAATAGATCGATGTGTACATGGATAACGAGTATGTGCAATTCTTAAAAACGCGTCAAGCAGTGGGTGATTCTGCACTTTACCCAAAATTCTATCGCGTACTTTTCGTCATGGGCAATTCCCAAATTGTTAAATCCATAGGATATCAAAAAAGGATTTAAAATCAAAAAAAGGATGGTAAAATCCTAGTATACGGTACAGCCTTGGCGCGACTTTGAAAATTATCGCCAACACCAAAAATGATCCAAAGAATGTCTATATATATATACTATACACTATGTGTGTATATACATAGCATATATACTATATACACAGTATATACTATGTTTAACTATATATTTTCTTTGAATGACCCGTTAACTACTCATCGCAATGTCCAGTTTTTACTGCTCATCATAAAGTTGCCAAAAGTAGCCAAATCCCGTGTGCACCGGATACTAGGATTAAACCAAAAGGATTTAAAAATTAAACTAGTATTTCAATGGCGTCTTAAGAAATATAGAACTATACAAACTTACGCAATCTGAAATCAGCGCGTACGCTAGATTTGGCACGGTGTTAAATGAACGCATTTGCTAGATTTGCCGCTTTTGCAAATCAATTTTCGCTGCAATTTTTTACGGTCCTCAAAACAGAATAATACCAAAATATATTTTCATACTTCTTGTTTGTTATTTTTATGCTCACTGCCATATACTTGGCAATACCAAATAATTTATAATTTTATCAAATTTAGGAAAATTTTTAAGATCTTTAATTTTTTGAAGGAAATGTTCCATTAAATACATAGATAAAGTATTATCCCTACTAGTATATCAAAAGCACAAAATATGCTTTATTTTGCTTCAAGCAAGAGCTGCTTTTACATTTAAATTAATGTATGCGGGGGCATATTCTTCATTCCCCCCTACTTCTACTTCAACCCAGCAAGGCATGACGTCATCACAGCTTAGCACAGTGCGGAGCAATCGAGACGACCGCTGGAAGTGCTGAGAACAAGCCATGTTCCACACGCAGAGGCAGATAGCTTTCAGACAAGGAAAGGAATGGACGCAAACCGTCTGCTTGCATATCCTCTAAGAATTGGTGGAAACAGACGGTTTCCTTCGATGCTCAAGTTCCTTGAAGTCAAGCTATTGGCCAAATATTGGATGTAGTTAGCCGTGGATGGATGAAAATAGACGTATTCTCTCAAGGCATGAGCCTACGTGCCTGTAGAAGGACTTACTTTAGTTGTGAGGTTACCTACCATCTGTAACATTCACCTAATTGATCTTTTCATTCTATTTCCTATTGGTAAAATAAAGTAGCTAGTTATGTTTGAGTCGTGCTCTACAATGTTCTTATTGAAGGTAATCTTACATGTATAGCAGCTACTGTATTTGACAGCTTAGTTTCATTACCTTTGGTTAGACTATACAGTACAAAGTACCAGATCCTGACATCCAATATCCAGAATGTTCTAAAATCCAGACCTCAAAGCCAACACCAACTTTTTGTGTGTGTGCTTTATGCATGCGCATTTGATTCCCCTCCCCCCTCCGTACATAATAAAAAATGTTCTTAATTTTACTTCGGCACTAAATAAAATACCTCGTTATTGAACAAACAATCATCTTAGCATAAATTTGTATGATCAATAATTCGGCTTTGTAGCTGAGTATCTGCTTGGCATACATCTCAAACTGAAACATTCTACAGTCAAAAGTCGTTAATCCGGACTCGTCGGGATTTCAGCGATTCCGGATTATCAATTTTTCCGGATTATAGATCATCAGTTTAAATCTGGTAAGATGGCATGCAGAAATTATAAAATTAAAAATATGAAACCGTAATTTATGAAATAAAGAACAATTATGATCTAAAGGGAATCAAAATTTACAAAAAAAAGCTTGATATTTATTTGTTTACTTTACTTTACTTTCTTCGCTATCGGAAGCGAATTATAATGACGAGGAATTTGATTTAAATCCTATCAAAGGAGTACATTGAGATGAAATACTACATTTAGTAAGGAATTATAAGCCAAATAAAATAAAAACATCAGCCCTGAAGATAAGGATTGTGCTGACAGATCAACTTCCAATTCATTGCGCGCCGCGGCGTACCCCTGCCGCAGAGCAGCGTGAAATTGATAAACAGATTTTGGAATGGTTAGATAAACAAAGGATATGTCTTTATCCATTTTTTGCAGCAATTCCACTTTTTGTTTAATGGACTTCGACACATACTTTCGCTTTGTAGATCCTTTACATATTAGTAAATATATATCGGAAATTCTATTTGACATAATCGAAAGTTCAAGCTTACTTTTATAAAATTGCTCTAACAGTCTGCAAAAAATAATAAGCCGGATCCAATTCCAAGATTAAGGAACAACGCAATCTACAACATTAACTGAATTAGATAATTTTAGATTACCTTATATTGTCTGTTATACATTAAACGCGCATGCGTAAACGTATTTTGGGCATGCGCACACGCATATTTGCAGCCGTAAAGGTCTTACGGGCATGCGTCAACGCGATGCATGCACAGTAAGTTTGTAGCTTTGAGGTCCGGATTATAGATCATTCCAGATTATGGATGTCCGAATTAATGACTTTTGACTGCATATAGATGCATCGTTGATTTTACACTGACTAATAGTACTGGCGAACCATTATTTATTATATTTTGCTTTAATCACTGCATGTTTATCAACACATGACAACTTGTGTAATGACTCATGTAGTGATGCCTAAATTATTTTTAATTAGTATATGAATAAAAAAAAGTATGGTAACCTTTCACGTTAACATTATGCTTGGCAATGATTGCAAATTTAAGTTAAACGCACTATGAAATGTTGATAGGAAAAATTTAACAATAATTTCTTTCCATATGCTAAAAATAGATTTTGTTAACGATACTCATAGGCCAAAAGATTACATTTAATGCTATTTGAATTAAGAATAACTGATTTGTTATTCATACCCAGAATCAGGGCCAGAGCTCATATGGCTGCACCCAGTGGCAGAATTTAAGGAAGACAAAGAGAGGTGCTTGGTAACAGAATTTAGGACCCACAGAGACTGCATTAGGTGGTAAAATTTCTAGCCCCAGCCCTCAATAATTCTTAAGTATATGTGGGAATTAATTTTTTCAGGATTCAGACAAGCTTTAAGCTTGTGCAAGGAATAGGCATAAGTATAATAAATAACTAAACTAATACAATTTCAGGCTTAATTATCTTAGTGCATGATAGAAGCAAGATAAAATTTAGCATAACAACTTGTTTGTAGTCGCCAATCTTGTGATATATAGCCAAACATGTTTAGTGAATGATAGCTAGATTTTATGATGATGGCCGCGAATCTGAAGGTTTTGGGATATCAGAAACCAAAGGTGGAATTCTCTAATTAACGGATTTTGTAAAGAAATGTGGAGAAGAGGTAATAAATGAAGATGATATAAAGGAAATTTTCCATTGTGATGATAATGCTCCTCAATCAGCAATCAATTAATGGATGGTGAAATCTGTAGTATCTTTCTAGATCCACAACCGATAGTGAAGAAAGTGACAGAAAGATTACTGAAAACAAAAGAAATTCGATTGACAAGTTAGTCGCTATTCTAGGTACAGCAATTACAGGACTTGAACAGTGGAAACTTTGTAACTGAACCAGAAATTATGACTGTCGATAGAATTAAAGAGAAAATATTAGCACAAAAAATGAAGCAACTTAAACAACTTGAAAGAAATGTTTAATAAAGTAAACAAATAAATTTTAATCCTTTTTTTTCTAAATTTTGATACCTGTTAGATCACAAATGCTTCATTATTTCATAAATCATGAATTCATATTTTTAATTTTATTATTTCCATATGCAGTCTTACTAGATTTAAATAGACGATCTAATATCGGGAAAAATTCCAAATCTATAATCGTGGAAGTCCTGACGAGTCCGGATCTCAGACCTTGTACTGTATTTAAGGATGCCCCTTGGATTAT